ACCTTGAACTTGATGTCACTATACGGAGCTCCATCAGCTCGGAACCACATATGGCACTCCATGTCGAGCAAATATAATTTCAATCTAGCAACCACAGCTCCGGTAGTCAATGCATCCACATAAACCAGTTCAAGAAATCTAGAATAGTAGTCTTGCACAACTAAATACCATTTCGCATTACATTTCAAAAGGTCAAAGACTCCCGGGGATTTTTTGGTAGTTCAGTCAACAGTAGAGGTTCTGATTTGTTACTAATTTGCTCCAAGCAAACTGGCCAATGTGTTACAAGTGTAGCAATATCTGTTGAACAGCCAGGCCACCACACAGATTCATACACTCGCCTTCGACATTTGACCATTCCCATGTGACCTTCATGTATTTTACTCAGTATTTCCTTTCTCAACGATTTTGGAATAAACAGTCTTGTGCCTAAAAGGAGGAATCCTTTACTAATGTTTAGATCAGTCCTGTACTTCCATTACACCGATTTTTTATTCCAATTGTTATTCACAATCCAGGATTTAATTCTTCCGCATTCCTCATCAGTATCCTGAGCTTCTTTGATTTCCTTGAGCCTTTTGTCAGAACAAGGAATAGCATCTAAAATACTCTGAACAAACAAATCTTGTTCCAATATGTCTTCATGTTCTTCATTTCCTAGACAAAACATCTGGTACATAAAACTCCTTTCCTTTCACATATGTTACTTTACTGTATATCTAAAACAAGCCATTCTCTTTCTTAACCGCTGAAGTTTTGCCGATAAACTAGCGATTTGTTTACTTCCAAGCACCTGAACTAAAGGTTTATGGTCAGTCATAAAATCAAACTCGGTTCCTAAAACATACTGTGAAAATATCTCACATGCCCAAGTCAGTGCCAGTGCCTCCTTTTCTATCTGTGCATAACGCATCTCTGTCGGTGATAAAGATCTCGATGCATAGGTGATTGGTTTCCACTTTCCATCCACAAATTGTTCAATCACCCCTCCTAGGCCAAATGACGAGGCATCAGCTGCAACCCTGGTTTTACGATTTTTGTTGTAAGACACCAGAACTGGATTTGAAGAAATTAGGGATTTAATTTTATCCCAAGCACTCTTTTGAACGTCAGACCAAACCCACTGATAACCTTTCTTAAGTAAAATTCGCAATGGAGCTGTAACTTCAGCCAAGTTAGGGATAAACTTCATCAAATAATTAACCATGCCAAGAAATTGCCGAAGTTCGTTAACATTATTTGGGGTTTGCATTTTCATAATGGCCTCCACTTTCTCAGAATCAGGCTTTATCAATCCATTTTCAATCAAATGTCCTAGAAATTTAACTCTGTTCACATTAATGTTACATTTATCTTTATTAAGTGTAACATTGTGTTCTCTCAATCTCTGTAATACATTTGCTAGTCGATGGTCATGTTCTTCCTGTGTTCTACCGACCACAAGTATATCATCTGTTTGGTTTACTACCCCATCCAGTCCATCCAAAACTTGGTATATCCTCTTCTGGTAAACCTCTGGGCCAGAATTAATACCGAATGGTAACCGCTTGAAAAAGAATCGCCCAAAAGGAGTTATAAAAGTCGTAAGCTTGTAACTTTCATGATGTAAAGGAACTTGAATAAATCCATTTGTAGCGCCTAGTAAAGAAAATATTTGTCCGCCTTCTAATTTACTTAGACTTTCTTCTACAGTTGGTAGTTGCCACCTTTCTCTCTGAATGCTTTTGTTGAGTTCGGTATAATCAACACATAGCCTCACTCTATCACCTGTCTTACGCGGTACAACAACAATTGGTGCACACCAGTCTGTTGGTTATACCACTGGCTCAATTATTCACTCAGAATGCAGTCGATCCATTTCTTCTTTGACTTTGCTCAATAGTGGAGCGGACACTCTACGAGGGGCTGCCACAGCAAAGGGACGAGCATTTTGTGTTAGTGGAATTCTGTAGTTTTCCCCTTTCATTTCACCAATAGAACCAAAAACATCAGAAAACTGAGAAAATATTTGGTTAGAGAAAATCGAATCTATGTTGAACTGAATTAGGTTTAATTTCAACATTGCATTTCTACTTAAAAGTGGAGTAGATTGTTGCTCAATGACGTAAATATCTTCTTCAATAGATTTAACACTAAAGTAGCAACGATCTTACCAACCACTTTCAACCTAGTTTTCCCCGGACCAAATAATATTTTACTTGTTTCACTCGTTTCCAGTTTTAACTCCTTGCAAAGATCATATCCAATTATAGAAACATCTGCTCCAGTGTCTAACTTAAAAAAATATCATGCCCCTTAACATTAAGTTTTACTTTACAAGGATTTTGTCCTCCAACCTCTTCTATAATCAATTCCCCTAAATAGGTTTTAGGTTTTTCTAATGGTTCTTCACTTTTATTAATTTCTCTCACTTCAAATCTTTTGGTACAACATCTCACAAAATGTCCCTTTATTCCACATCTGAAACATGTAGACTGATTGGCAGGACAATCATTGGTATTGTGATGTCCAACAAATCCACATTTTTTACATTTACCTTTCTTTGAACTGCTTTGATCTTGACTTTTATTGTAAGAACTGTCCCTAAACCGATGATTAGTGGATTGATTAATCCCCTTATTGACAAACTCAATTTCTGGTGATTCCCTCACTACTTTTTGTTGTTGTTTTAAACTCTCTGCTTGTCTTGCTTTCAAAATTGCTGTACTAAGGTTAATTTTTCATCCAACTGTAAATTTTGAGAAAGTTTATCATCATTTACCCCAATTACTATCAAATCTCTAATTAGTTCATCTTTTAATTCCCCAAGTTTACATCACTCTGCCAGTTTGTGTAAACTATTTATAACAGAATCAACAGGTTCCCCCTCAGACTGACGTCTTTTTAGAAATTTAGCTCTCCCATATACAATATTGATTTTGAAACCTAAGTAAGACTCAAATCTACCCTTGACAGTGTCATAACTCTGTAATTCTTCATCTTTTAATCCGAAAGATGTTAGAAGGTCTTCTCCTTCATCTCCTAGACAGTATAAAAGCATATTAACTAGATTTTCCCCACTCTTACTGTCAAATCCTGAAGCTAATCTAAACCTTTCAAATTTTCTTATCCACCTAGGCCATTCAGAAGGTTCCCTGAAATTGAAAGGTTCAGGTGTGACAAGTTGGTATTGAACTGTACTAACTGTACTACTCACTGCTTCAGCCATTCTTAGTTCTTTCTTCTCCACAAAAGTTTATTTAACCTGACACCATGAAGTGAAAGGTAAAACTCACACCACAGTTAAACATAGATACGTTATTAGCCAAGATCCCAAAAGTAAGTCATCAAGCTTAAAACAACAATACAATCAAAACTAACATCAAATATGCAACATATGATAACAATTATAAAAATACCAAACAACACACTAAGTACAGTACAAAAGAAACATTCCCCGTCCTGCAAAGATCTGCAGAAGGGCTTTCAAATATCTATATATATAATAAGTAAGTATTGATTGGTCTCCATATCAACGGAAATGACGACTAAAACATATTCACCTCACTATGATGTTTTTAGCTGCTTTACAAACGTTAATTTGTGGCTGAAAGGTACGTATTGCTGTCTAGGGCCGAAATGCCAGCTGCCAATGTCATTTAGGGACCCATGAGGTTTTTACGGCCCTAGAGCTGTAAGGTCAGCTGTTCGCTTATATTACTTAATACATTAATGTGTATTAAATATACAAGCATTATCCCTCATGAATTGCAATATAGACTTGTTTTATTGCCACCGCTGCCTCGCAATTATTTTTGTGATTCCTCTATACATTTCTTCAAATAACCTTAATAAAGTTGTAGTTATGTTGACTGTTAGTGTGCATTTATTGCGTGAAAATGTCAAATTGTGTATAGTGTGGTGAAGAATAGCTTTGGTACCACGGGCTAAAAGAGTTTTGCAGCTTGATAAAACCTAATTTCTGGCCCTATTTACGAAACATGCATTTGCCTTTATATGCTTTTTATCTTACACTGCAAAATATGATTGCAGCAAATGATATAAATATTAAGAAATCATTCTTCTATCCTTGTTATTTTTGGCAGAAAATAGAAAGTACACATAAGCTCCTAATCATCGGTAAAATTTACCACTAGGTACTCTTTCAACTAGCGTCTCTGCTCAAAGTTACTTGTAGAATTATTTTATTGATTGGTTACTTTGAAAACAGTAACACAACTACAATTAATATCCCCACATTTTGATTGATTTTTATCTTATCTTTTTACAGCTTTAAAGTGCTGAACAAATGGATGGCTTGCCTCTAGCATTAGCAAAGAAAACCGAGTATGGAAGGGGGGAGTTACAGCTGTTCAGTAAACTACAACATTAAAAAAAATGTTCTTTGTTCTATGCTCTGCTTTGGATTTAACATTGACTATTTTACTTACAACTCTTTTACCAGCAGCATGTCCTCTAATCCTATTTATTTATTTTAGCGTTAAAACATGTTGTATTCAAATTTAAATGAAACAGTGTCTTTCTCTTGTAACCATGAAAAGTGTGTTCATTTCTTTCTCTTCATAATATGTTCTCTCGATCTCAATCTTTTCATTTTTCAACATATTACCCCTCTGGTCTTTCAAACTAATTATTACTACAATTTATTTCTGATTTTATTCTGTTTTATTAATCACTAACTTTATTTGATTTAACATTTTGTTACCAATCATCAGCTCTTATTCCTACAGTTAATCCATTGGCAATTCTTTCCCAGATATTTTATACCATCCCATTTCTACAGTTCAACAGGTCTAATGGTAAGATCTAAACCCGGGACCGATTTACTTTTTCGTTTTGAGTATATAGCTATAATACTCAAGCCAACGTTTGAAACAATGTGCGCGTATATAGTTCAAGTCTTGCACAAAATTTTTGCTAGCATTGCAATTATTTCACGTTGCGTAATAAAACAGATGTCTAACAGTTGTTCCAGTTGTAGACCTACACGTGCTGTGCTGGGCATTGTTGAATAGAATTTTCTTCAGTAGCTAGTTTTGTTTGGTTAGGAACGGACGGTTCCAATCCTACACTTATTAAAACATTTCAGTTTTACTAGAGTGCATTTATAAGTTATGTTTGGTATCTTTTCATTCTTTTTGAAATTATTTCTTATTATGTTTATGATAACTCTAGTACTGGTAAGTATTGCATTAAGTAATGTATTCGAAATAACATTTAATTATCGATAGTGTATAACCATTGACTATTTTTAATAGTCAAAGGTACCTATGACTCTAAAAAAGCACTATAGTTGTGGCTTTATATTAGCGTTAACAGAATCGTCTTCATAAAACAATCAAACATTGCTGTGATTACATAAAATAATATTTTAATTGAGGAAAAAGCTTTTTGAATTCTTTTTTTTCAACTAATGTAGTGAATGCCTGGTATTTGTTATATAATGCACCTTAATAGACTAAAAACTTGATAGACAAAACGTAAGAGACTCGAACCTTTCAACGAAGCTAATTAGAATGCCCTTGCCGCAGCAAACCTACCGACAAGGGGATTTCCACTTGCGAGGTTGGACTTTCACTCAAATGTTTGCATAAAATTGTCGGATTTATCCTATACTAGTGAACCTGTGCGGCTCAATGCCCCGCAAAATAACATATGAATTTAGAAAACAAATTCATCCTGTTATTAATATTGACTCGACGTCGAAAATTAAATACAGTAATAATAAAGCCTTAGAAGGGAAGCAGTCCAGTCATTTTCTAGCTGTATGTGTATTATATTTAGTATATTAATAAGTGTTCAAGTTCAAGTGTGTTCCTAGTTATTTGTTAAAGATTTTAAAACACATTTAACAAAACATTTTATCATATCAACCAAAAGGCCTATGAAGCATATTTTGAGGGTCTTACAATGCTGTTTAAAGAATATACTTTTAAAAATAAACACTAAAAAACAATATTTTTATCACAAAAGCACTTCCACGAATACTACGATTTTAGTCTTAAAGTTACCTTCAGGAAGATTACCCTGGTCAGAATTTTCCGTAATGAATATGCGTATCCTATTAAAAGATGTAGCCTTACTTAAAACAACATACAATATAGTTGCTCATGACTGAAATTGATCTGGGTAAGAACAGTGCTGATCTTTAAATAAAGGGTTTGTGCTGCAAATGCCAAAGATAACATAAATTAGCATCTTTCCATTTTAAAAGGTAACTTAAGTTTGTTTCAGACGGGCACATTTTTATCCTCGAAATCAACATATGTCCCCACTTACTTGTCCCGGTTAAGACTTTACATTCTATTAAGCTGTTAACCATTCTGATCACATGAAGCCTTGTGCCATTAATGAGGCCCTTTTGATGTATTAATATTCCACATCAATAAAACCACTGCCCCCTTTTATTAGTCTAATCTGAGTCTTGGCAATACACTGACCTCTATATTTAAAAACTCAGTTGGATTTTCTGATGGATGTCTCCGCCTTTGTCTGTTTTCGAGGACCCACTCTTCTTCCCCTTGCCATACTGACAGTTAATTACCTAACTTGTCAAGTTCATGTACTAATTCATTAATACTGTTAGTTTATAAAGAAAATTAGATAAAAGTTACTTGGCTCGGTGCTTTCATAACTGCAAACTCAAAATACACCCAGAAGTAAAAAAGACTCAAGTTATTGGTAAAAAAAAAAAACTATGTTTGTGTAACAACATTATTCACATGAAGTAGATGATTTGTTTGATTTGTCAATCAGCTGTTTTATTTACATAAAACGATTTAATAATGTCAAAGATTTGTGAGTTTAAATACATAAACTATTATAGTAAAGTTTTCTAAATCATGGTAACTTATTCTCAACTAAATTTTACTATTCCCAACATTAAAATAAAGTAGGGCCTATTAAGATCCATTATGGGTAAACTTTAAGGTACACAATCCTTGATTGAAATGCAGTATACATTAACAGTCATAACACACAGCAATAAATTATTATGTAGTAGACTTTGACTATTTTCAAGTAACAAACATATGTTTCTGTAAATAAAAATCATCTCCCATGTTATCCTTATGGAGAAATGTGAAAATTTAAAGGGCCTCAGGGCCTCACTCTCTAATTATTTCCTTAAAAAGAAAGCACAACTTCACGTTACGCTCTTTCCAATGACACCAAAAACATGACAATCGGTTCAGTAGTTTCGGAGGAGTAATTGTCACAAAATATCTGCTTGCGTATTAAATAAGTAAATAAATAGATCTATAACGCTGTTTACCCTAGATGTTTATATGAGTAACATTTGCAGACAATGATTTCACAGACAAAGATTTTATTTTCGTTAAAAACTTTAAATGAAATTTTTAAATGAAATGAACCACATTCTTGTCTTGGTATTAACGAATTGGTCTAATTATCAGGATAGTACTGCGGATAGTCGTAGTACTCACTAGTGCGGACGTTAATCCACACCAGGGAGTATCGCATCCACAGTGCATCTCTATAAATATCCACAATTCGTTCCTCCTACTAGCTGGATTACAGGACGGCGCCACCGTCCCAGTTTTAACGATCCCATAGATTATAAAATAGAAAAGGTATGGCTCATAAACATAAATAAATGGCCAAAAAAACATTATTGAATTATTATTTAAATTCAAGTGCCAAAAAACATCCAAAACAGATGTAGAGGGTATTAACTGTTTTTTACAAAATGGCAGAGGCTTGAAATTTAAAAAGGCCTATGATAAAATCTGTTTGACATAGCTGAATGATAGCCAATTACGAAGTGTTGAACTAATCGATATTATAAAATGAACATTTATTGCTAATTCTTATATGACAACCAATATGTTAATTAATAAGTACAACTTTGAAACTTGGTGAGGCACCTTTTTCAGGGAAGTTCACATCGAAACTCCCATGATAAGCAACCTCGGCCCGAACTTCATGGGTCCAATTCTTATGGGTACTATCATCATGTGCCAAATCCTCATGGGTTTAATCGTCATGGGACCGAGCATCACAGAAAAAAGCACAGCAGCGGGAGCTCATCCAGTTCATCCAGTTCATCCGGTTCATCCTAGAGTCCCTATACACAAAATCAAGTAAACGCATGTTGGTGTTAAAGATTGCAAATTAAAAAGGGATTCAGCCAGTAGATTATTGTTTTTATTTTCATTGTCCTTTCTAGAATCTTAGAAAGACGTGTATTTGGTAATAAATTGAACCTATACACGGAAGCTTTTTATTACAGACTTAAAAATTTCAAAGACTGTTTTTTTTAGATTTAGCACAATATTTTTGTTTGTCCAGGGGGATTATTCATACGTTCTTTATCATAAAAAAACTTTTTACAAACTCACAACGATTAAAACAAGTGTTTTTTGTCAAGCAAATTCTTTATCTGCAAATTGCTCTCATCTGCAACTTAATAGCATTACTAGCCAATGTACTGTATTCAGTGTCTTCTAATTTTACAAATCCATGTAAATTAATAACAATAATGTATAAGTATTTAATCAAAAGCAAATCAAACACCGCTAAGCGCAACTAGTAAAGATAAAATCTGAATTATCAATGAGTGACCAGTAACATTAACATATTTTTGCTATAACAAAGTATCTAAAAATGGGTCCCTTGATTCAAGTTTGTTACTTGAATAAAACAAGCCATTTAAAGTATACTAGAAAATCCCAAAATACAGTAGTTTTTTTTTGTTTTTTTTTTTACGAAAGGTCGCTTGATTGAATACCATTGAGCATATAATGTACTCAATGGGAGGTATATCCTAAAGCATTACAACACGAATTTTGAGCATTGTTTTGAATGATTTCAAAACAACGATTCATTAGAATACATTCAAGGACCATTGACACCCTTTGTGCCGGCATGTTACAGTTTTAAAATTTATTTGAAAAAGAAACCGTATTTGAAATCTGTTGTGAATTAATTCAAACCCAATAAACAAATGTCTAAAAAAAACTCATAAGTGTGAAAGTAGAACAATGCACCTGTAACGGTGGTGGGTAGTCGAAAATTCATTTGAATTCATCTGTTGACTATTTTACGAAGCGTAGTCGCTGGGATCGCGGAACTGTTTAATATTAGTGTTGTAATGATTTTCTGTATACTCTAGGTATTTAAACAGTCTTATTTTTCCCATCCAGAATACACCTCACATTGAGTATTGCTCAATGTAATTCATCCGAATGACCTTTCTTTTGTAGCCTACTGTTTAATTGTTTTTGATTTTCTAGTATACTTCAAATGGCTTATAATAATATGTTGTGATTCTTTTGTTGGCAAAGTTTGTTAAAATTGCATACGACCAAACTTTGCAACCCATTAGTAAAATGTTTCAAAAATAAAAATTTAATTTAAATCCTTTTTCGAAAAACGTTTTTTTCTAGAACAATGCCTAGCCAAATATTATTTCTAGCCTAACAATAAGATTATTTTATTATTAAGAAAAATTATAGTAGGGAGCTGTTTTTTTAACAATTGTTTGCAAAACCCCACTAATACTGGGATGATATAGTCTGTATGTGTGGATGTGTACAGAGCTACAGACCACTGGGGTTTGATTTTGATGAAATTTTGTATGTGGGTACTAATCCATAGTATCTCCATCAAGGCTTTTGATTTTATTAAAGTCTTATTTTTTTAATTTTACGGCCCGGACGATTTTGATTAAAATTTAGAATGTTATAAACCCCTTTAACTCTAAACAAAACTGTACCACCCTCATTGTTGTTAAAATTATTGTTCAAAAGCTAGTGCAAATTATGTGATTATCCCACAAAAAAAACCTAAAAAACAACAAAAAATCCTATTTTCGAAAAAAGCTCAACAAATTCAATTTTGAATAAAGTTTAGTATCTTACGGTTCTTATAGTTCTAAACAAAATCCCCATTGCTATAAAAATTACGGCTAAAGGGTTATTGCCACTTAGTGATTTTACCCATAAATTACCATACTTTCTCCCACCGCATGGGAAATGTGGTAAAAATAGCAAAGTGGAACATTACTCCGCTTTGTATGTGTCAGATTGCTAAAACGGTTCATTTTTTATGAAACGCTTTATTCTTTAAACTATGTTTTTTATCGTTAGAGGTGTTATGAAACTGTGAAACTCATACTTAAACATGTTTGTACACTTTTACAGCCTGAAAATAATTCCATATTATGTGACTTTAATAGGAAAACACATTATACAGTCAGACCCAGTCTACTCTCTAATGAATTAAATTTATTTCCCTCAAGGGAGCTTACAACACCCTATGAATATTTATATTCTTCTGAATGTTTCACCCATACACCCAGAGGATTTGTAAGCCATACGGATGGACAACGTTACAGTACTTTCGGTATAATAATACCTAGTTTTGAATCACTTAACTTAAGTTTTATTATTGAAATGCGGAACAGACTCTCACATTAAGCACTATTTTAGACCATATTTTTGTCTGAATTTATTTTTGAATGGTACATTTAGCTTAGGAAATATTGTGTTCAGTTATATTTTATCTGGTTTAATAAATACTTTGAATAATTGCCCTTTATGTAAAATTACTATTAAAATATCACATTATTCCAAAATATTATTAGGTACACAAATAAATGTTCTGTGGCGAAATATATGGTACCACTACGAAAGGCCAAAATATACCTGATAGGGTAGAATTTTTCTTGCAAAGAAAACATGGCTCGTGAATAAGGATTTCTCTCAAGTGAGTCGATACTGGTGAATAAAATGACCGTCAGATCTAGGGTTAAAAGTGTGTTCATTTTTTTTACTCGCAATCTCAATATTTCCATTTCTCAAAATTTTACCCCTCTGGTCCTTCGAACTATTTATAATTACCATTTATTTCTTAATCATTAACCTTATTTTATTTAACTAACATTTTGTTACCAATCATCAGCTCTTACTCCTACAGTTCATCCATTGGTACTTCTTTCCCAGATATTTGATATTAACCCCATCTCTTCAATTATTCAACACAATAACAATATTAAGATACTTTGCAAAAAATCCATATACACAAAAGTACATGACGTTGTTAATCCTAGCTGATTAAGGAATGGTAAGATATGAACCCGGGACCGATTACTTTTTTGTTTTGAGGTCCTCAGAAGCCAAAAACACTAACCGTTCAAATTGTACGTATAATGTGTGTGTGTGTGTTTTTCCAAACCATTTTGTAGAGCATATAAAAAGGAAAGATTTAGTATATTTAAGCGTTGTTATGCACTTAATGGTTAAGGAGAAATGTAAAAAAAATTAAATTTGAAATTCCCATGTTTATTATGGAGAAAAGATAAACGGTTGTAGTTAGTTAGGTTTTTTATTAACACATTTTGATCAAATTTTAAATTGCATTTATTAATAGTAAGCTATTAACATTTCAATATTATTAAGACTCAATGTGTTGATGTGTCTATGTCTTAAGACTTTTTAAGACAATACCTATAAAACTATTTTATCACCTTCCCTATAGCAATCTAGTACTCGTTAAACTAATGCTATTCAAGTAGGGAATAAATATTACATTTTTAAAGCGATCTTCCAAATGAAAAACAAATCAGGCAAGTGGAAATTAAATTAGTCTGCAGGTTTTCTGTAATGGGGGGTATCTTGTTTTTGAGGTGTTAGGATACCACTCTTCAGTAAATATATTCCTAATTATGCTACTTATGAGAGTTCTAAATCTAACAACTAGTTTAGATATTAGAATAGACTTCTCAATATATTGTAAAATCTAAAACATATCTGTGTTGTAATTCGGTTACTTAAGGTGCACAGATTTTGACCAATTTTCTTTTTTAATAGTTTAAGGTAAAACGAACCATGTATTTCATTACTTTTATTGGATGTACAATGCATGAAGACAAGCAATAGTTCAAAAGTTAAAATTACACTTTTTTTAATTGAAGTACATTTAGTCAGTGAGATAAGTAGCAACAACAATGGGACCAAAATTAATGAATATTAGAACGATATTTACATAAGCCAGACATACACATTTTTTTTTAAATGTCTTTATTGATCCATTATTAGGAATATTATTACTATCTTTTGGGGATTTGGAACATAAATGGTCTCAAAGGAAAACCCAGTATTTGTTTGATAGTTCTGAATGTTTATTTATAAATAAGTTAAAAACTTAATTACAGGCTGTTAAATTTCTCCACTGGGGTCTCCGTTTCATTACGAACTTATGTAGGAAGTTGAAAATAAGTTTAAACAAGATAAAATACCCACTGAGGTGCTGCACCTCGAAACTCTTAACAGATTATTTCTCTGCACCTTGATTTCTCAATTTTGTCGTGGAAATTTTCCACTTAACAACTAAGATATAGAGTGTTTTACAGAGGTTTATGGAAAACAAACTTTTGAACATAATGACGTTATCAAAACATTTAATAGATATAATTATAATATATATCAAAAACTAAACAATGCCAGATAATAATTTTGAATCCTTAAGCATTAAGAGTTTGATATAAGTGTACAATAGTACCAGCCAGTGTACATAACTACACATAGCTAAAACATACATACCGAGCCAACAGAACGTATTATGTAATGACACCAGACACTTTGAGCGAATATTACGATTGGATGGGTTTAGGTTTACGTATAACATTTTACCCTTTTAGGAATTTAGAACAAGTAATTGTAGATACAAACTTGAATCAAGGGATCCATTCTTGCTTGAGCTAAATATTTATTTTAAAAATGGAACTAGTCACTAATATATAATTCGGAATTTAGTTTTACAGGTTTCCCTGAGAGGTTATTGATTTGCACGAAATCCTTACATTATTGTTTCCATTCTGCATGGGGTTTCATCCCAATACACGAAATTCATACATTGGATTACATATAACCATTTGCAGATAGAAAAATATTTACAGCACACAAAAACACTTATTTTTATCATTGTAGGCTTGTACAAAGGTTCTTATGATGATGAAAGTATGAATAATCCCCTTGAAAAACACTTAGAATATATATAAACCTTCTATGTAATTAGATTCAATTAGTTGCCAAGAACACTTTTTTAGCATTGTGAGATAGTTCCACAGTTTTTTTAGATTATGAAAACAAGTAGTATTCAAGTTTAGATAAAAAAAACGTGTTATAAATCGAG